CCTAACTGTCAGGGTGGTCAAATATTGGAATAAATTGCCAAGGGAGGTGGTGGAATCTCCCTCTCTGGAGATATTTAAGAACAGGTTAGATAGACATCTGTCAGGGATGGTGTAGACAGAGCTTGATCCTGCCTTGAGGAGTCCATTTTAGGAACCAGTACATTACCTCTCTTATAGGCTTAAACAATTTTCCCCTTTCCTCACTCCACACCATATACCTCTCTTTCTGAAATAATATTTTTGTTGCTGCCCATTCCACAGATTTTTTTTTTTTGGTCTAACACTGTTTCCAGTTCTTCATAGTCAAAAGGCATATATCCATCTCCTTTTGCTCCCAAAATCCAGAACAGCTTCATTATCATGTTTTACCTATTTAAAGATTCCCTAATAGCTCATATCCATCTCTTCTCCTTATCTACATCTTCCAATTCAAGCAAAATACATCCCCTCCGACTATTTCTTTTCCTCTTTCATCTTTTCATCCTTCTTTAAACAGGAGAATGTGGGGGAGATTAAATTCCTCAAATTCTCAACAGTGATGAGTCACTAAACCCAAGAAAGGAATAACTACATCTCATGATAATTGATACCATATGCATATGTATTAACAATCATTAGATCTGGCTAAACCGAGATGAACCCTGATCTGTCTATGAACATAAATAGCTTCAGTATTTCATAAACTGACAATGACACAGAAGTGTTTTTAACGTGCAGGAAGAACCTCTATTAATCTCATAAATTAAATTTTAAATAAGAGGAGTTGGACATATAACATTTTAATTTGCAAAATAAATTGACTTATCAGATTACAAATAGATGCTACATTCAGTCATTAGTACACTCGCTCACACTAGAGCAACAGTGTAAATAGAGACAGCTTTCTAAACTCTGAGATCATTGTTGCAATAGCCACATGAACAAGTCTGAAGACAGGAGCTCTAAACAACATAAAGAGGATACAGAACAATTCAAACTCCACCATCAACATTCTAAAATACTGCAAAGGCTCCACACCTTTACTCATGCGGATATTTGCATGAGAGAAATCTCCAGCATGGTTGGACTCCGGTTTATAACTTTACAAGTGATATAATCAGTTACATGAAAGACACGGACTTACATGTTTAAAGTGACTTGTGATTCTGGGTGCCTAACTTGAGATATTTTAAAGGATCCTGATTGTCAGAGGTTGAATGTTCAGAACTTTCTGAAATTAAGACTTTATTTGATCTCAGAGCATCCAAAAGGATCAAGAGTCTAATGCTCATGCCTGTAGCAGGGTCACATATCTTCCCTACAGTGCTGCTCTATGAATTGACCAGCAGCCTCCTGAAATATATTTTGGAGATATTGTTAAAGGCTGTGTCAAGAAAGGGCATCATTTGTCTTACTCTATAAGCTAACTCATAGCTAGCTATTTCTCATGAAAATATTTTATATCCTTAGGTATCTCAAAGCAGAATGTGAAATGACATTTATATTCTATATAAGAAGAAATCATATTTCTTTTGGGAGTTAACTTGGTAATGAAGGAACAAATGTAGTAGTTCAACCTCATTTCGTGTCTAGCTTAAGGTTATTTTATTGTCACTGTTCTTCATCATAGGCAGCAGCACAACACTGGGTAAGTAATGATAGGTATGTCTCCCTTTATTAAAAGGGAAACTATTTTGATGTTTTTAAAAACGATTTGTATAATATTTTCATAAGTTTGTAAAACTGTATCAATCGTTGATACAGTTGTTTATATTGTCATTAACTCTGATAGTCAATGGTTGTTGAGGAAGTGTCTTTCTAGCTTGCCTGATAGGGGACCGATTCTCAGGGGCACAGGATGCCTGCCTTTTCCATTTAATTTTAGGGAGCACTACAAGTGCCCAGAGCTGCTCAGGATTTGGCCCAGTCTGTGCCAAAGGAAATACCACTCAGCATTCTAATTCATGACAGAGACTGGAGATGTCTTTAAAATAAATTCTCTTTATTACAAATAGGTTTATTATGGGGACTTACTGACCTTTTCTACACATAATTTTCTAGCAAATAAGCCAATAACAGTGAAAGTCTTTGGCATTTCTTTTGAATTCGTTGGGGGTAAAATTCACCTTTCTGCAGAGAGCCTATTGAGGCTTATAACGCTTTTAAGACCTCTAAGACATTGAAATCCTACTTAAGACCCATTTTGTCCTCCAAATAGGATTTCAGTGATTCATAGATCTTTTGTGAGTCTTCTGCAGAGTGGTGAATTTCAATCTTGTTGATTAGCACATCTTTTGTTACAATCAGTGCAATCTTGCAAGTTGTGTGTATTCAGAATTCCCTCTATACTCAATATAAGCACTGGCTACCATAAGCTTTCATAAACACAGTATGAACCCTTAAGCTTCAGGCTATAAAACAACTTCTAGCTTCCTGGGATTGGGAAGAATGGCAGCTTTACTTCAGAAACTCCAGAAGCATTCACAGTTAAAAAATGACTAGTAAGTAAAAATAAGGATTTGAACATTTCTGGGGTTCTTTAATTTTTTAATGAGCATATTTTCATTTAGAACCATTGTAATCAATGGGTCAGTTTCTGGAGTAAGTCCCTTCTTAGCATAAGTAATAATGCTATGACTTGACCCGTAATTTTTAAATATCTAACTCTCTCACTATTTTGAATGCAGAACTCCTACAGGCTAAAAATTGAGTTGCTAAAAATATGTAGGACCTATGGTTCAAGAATTAACCACTGTGGGTCTTGAAATCTTGAAAACTGATTTCTTGATAGCTATTGTAGCTTGGCATGGTCCAATTATTTGGACTGCAATTCCAACTTTTTGTTCAAATTACTGCTGTACATTTAGCAAAAAATCTCAGTGCCCTTCCAAGCCCTGCATGGTGCTAGAACCTAAAAAGCAGAATGGTTACTATCCGATGGAAAACCATTAAAAACTCAGCACTCCACTGCACAGGATTTCTCATTTCCTTTAAAATCTTGCCCTGGGTCTTCCTATGCTAAAAACGGAAAATTAAGCTGTTTATTGGTGAAGCTGATATGATAACTGGAGGAGCCTAGCACAAAGAAACTTTTTTGGTTCATGACTGTTTGGAGGGATACACAGATCCTGAGATCTGTTCTGATGCCCTAGAGAAAATCAGTCTCTCTCTCTCCCCCACCTTCCCCTTTCTTCTCCCAAAATTGCTCAGTCTGATTTTGTCTGTTGTGAGATTTCTTTTTTAATCTTCGTTACTGATTTTTTCTTCAGCTGGAAGGTCATTTCAATAAGGCAGCTAAATATTGTACTTCTCCATCAACATCTATGAACATTAAAAGTGACTTGCTCAGGCTGACTACAGGGTCAGACCTGCTATTAGCCAATGAAGAGTCCTAAAGAACATTTTAGCAAATTTATTAACTCCCCCAGTTATCCTATAGGCTTTTTATCTTGGAACCATGTTTCGTAAAAACAAGGGTAAGAATGAGCTATGTGAATCTGGTTTTGATGGACAGGAGATAGTGTTGGTCATGGCTGCAATAGGATGATTTAGATAATCTGCATGGTAATACAAACCCGTCCTTTGCAATTGTGGAAACTCACTAGGGTTAAGCTGGCACCTGCTATGTACCCAGTCCCTTTGCCAAACAGACAGTACATGTAGCTGAGCATTACAATGGTTCCCAGTTGAAAAACATTTGGATTTCCTAGAGTTCTTTCAATATCTCTGTTTGGCTTACCTGGTAGAGGGGGTCATGGAGAGTCTTGAATTCTGAAATGTGGTTGCTGGTGGCCTGGAGGATTTCATTCATTGTTTCGCTGCAGGAAAGCCATTTGTTTTGTGTGAGCTTTCTAAAAATAGGCTGAGGAAAGAACACACTATTCAGCATCTGCAAAGCAAAATCTAAATGCAAATGTGTATAAGGTGTTAAATCTCTGTGTACAACAGGCATGCCTGATGCTGTACAGAGAAATTAAAGATGGTCTTGTAAAGTGGGGAGGGAAGCGAGGGTGGGAGGGAGGGAGGGAGGGAGAGAGGAAGGAAGGAAGGAAGGAAGGAAGAAGCAGTAATATTAGTTGGTGAATCAAATATCTTTCTGCCTCAGTGACTAATCACAGCTGTCTAAAGATTACTTGCATAACAATATAGCTACACGTAAATAACTACACCTCTTATTTATGTGTGTACATGCTATGTATGGCTCTGCCCATATGGACTCTCCCCGTCCTGTAGCCCCACCCCATCTTGGCCCATCACAACCTTTGTCAGTCCCCTGCACTGGCCCATCCCTGCCTGCATGACTCTGCCACTACGTAAAGGTCTGCTTGCATTGGCCTGCCCATACCTGTATCACTGCATATAAAGGCGCCACATCGACCCTGCCCCGCTGGCATCCTCTTGCATCCATAGTCTGTTCCCACTCTCTCCTCTTATTTTCAATGGACAAAATCATGGCCAGTGCAAGTCTTTACTGGACAGGAACAATATGGTGTGAAATAACATACAGTACACAGATGTGGCCATTCTCATCCACATGCACCTGAATGTATACACAGGTATTTGTGTGGCCATGTGTATGTAAAAATAACTGATTTCCACATGTCCACTGGATACATACATGCACATCTGTTTGAAAGATTGGCCCATCATGAGATGGGTCTCAGTTTGAAAAGTCCTAAAGGAGTTGCATGCAGTTGTTTGAATCTCATACGCATGCAGAATCACCATCTTTAAAGTACATTCTGCTTCAGCAAGACTTTGTCAGAATACGTATTTACAGTCTGCAAAGCAATGCAATGCTCTTTTTTGTATTCCCAGATCAAGTTCATTTTTTACCTCTGCCTTAATAAATTTTGTAAAATCAAAGCCAACCTTGAGCTAAGCATCAGCAGTTCTTGCACTGGGACAGAACAAAACACCAACAGTGTTTTAATGATTGGACTGTTAAACAAGACAGACTATAATAATGTTTGTATACATATAAGACTCCTGACAGAAAGAGAATAGATATCCACACTGACCATAATCTGTGTTTTCCGGCTCCCAGCAATTTGATGGCCAAAAATAGGGCGTCTATAGAATAAAACAAAACAAAGATAAACAAAACAAAAAAAGCAGGGAATTCAGGTTAGACAATGCAAGCATTATACAAATCCTAAACTGATTCTGTTTTTGTAAATATTATTTATTTTCTAGGAAATACACTATTCTGTAAATCAAACAATTTTGAAAGAGTCATCAAAAAGGCAAATTACTTTTGTTTGTTTATTTATGATATTTGTGTAGAATGGCAAACAAGAAAAGTGAAATATTATTATTTATAAACTACAGAACAAACATGGGCAGCCCTACTATCCCCAGGAGCATACTTATACTGGCCTGAACAAGCAACCTTTATATGTGAGAAGGTTTGCCCTTCTTAGGGCCCATTCAATCTTTGATCTTGCAGAACTTGTGATTAATATATGTTACGTTTCTAGGTATCTCATTAGTAAGTATTTATTAGTGCTGGTCAATATTTCAATGAAAAACCTTGTTCAGGGGGAAAAAAATGGACAGCTGTAATGTCAGTATTGTTGTTGGGTTGACCCTGTCATTTAAGAAGACAGAAGAAAGACCTCTGGGATTCCCCTTAGTTTTACTCTGAATTTCCATCACACAGCACAACAAATCTGTTTTTATGACCTCATAACCCATCAACATTGCCTCATATGTCATCACGTGAGCTTTCAAATGAAAGATCTTTTTTTCAGAATAATCACTTTTTATCCAGATGAGACATTTTTACCACTTTTTAAAAATTGTCCTTTGTTGGAACTCTAAAATAAAAAAAAATGTATTTTTAGGGTGCATTTTTTGTGTTTACACTTTCTTTTTCCTTTGCTCCCTTTTCTCTGTTTTTTCTCATCCTTCCACCCACCCACATCTTTTCAGTGGAACAGTGGAAAACAACCAGCAGGAAAGGTAGTGAAAGAGAAACAAAGGGGAAGTGAAAAATGAAAAAAAAAAAAAGAAAAAAAAATGGTCAGAGCTGAATTTTACATTATAACTCATTACATAAAGTGAGATTCATCTTACCAGGTTCCAGTGATTAAATGATCATCTTAAATAATGGCAGTCCCAATTCATCTGAAGAAGTGGCTGTGCTCACAAAAGCTCATGATACTATATATATATATTGTTAGTCCCTATGGTGCTACAGGATCACTCATTGTTTTTTTAAAGTTTTTTAAAGTCCCAATAATGGAATGGCTCATAGAACTTCCACACCTGACAGTAAACAGCCAGGCCCTCCCACCCAAAAATCCTGTTAGCAGAAACGTATACTGAACCTTTTTGAAAAGATGCAGCAGGGCCTGCTAATAAATATGCTTCTCTGGAGAACTTGGCAGTGTCATGCCTGCTTTATCCATGTAGAGGCAAATTGGCTCCAGGCATGTCGCACTTAAGGCATATGCCTTCCCATTCCCTGAGCAGCCCTAAAGTTGTATTAAAGCAAGCTAATACTAATTATCACCCAGTCTTGGACAGGAATCCTTTGAGTGGAACTGGAAATGTGTAAGCCATATGATGCAACTTCTCTCTCTCAGCCAACAAACCACTCTCCCAGACAGAGCAGTGACATTGTCCTTTTCTCACCCAGATGCTATCGGTCTTAATCTTATCTCAAACATGTCTTATTCTATTTCTGAAGTGGGAGTATTTCATTTACACAATTCTCCTTCCTTTCCCAGCCTACGTCTACACTGGCATGAATTTCCGAAAATGCTTTTCACGGAAAAGTTTTCCGTGAAAAGCATTTTCGGAAAAGTGCATCTAGATTGGCAAGATGCTTTTCCGCAAAAGCACTTTTTGCGGAAAAGCGTCCGTGACCAATCTAGATGCGCTTTTCCGCAAAAAAGCCCCGATTGCCATTTTCACGATCGGGGCTTTTTTGCGGAAAACAGTACTATGCTGTCTACACTGGCTCTTTTGGGCAAAAGTCTTTCGGAAAAAGACTTTTGCCCGAACGGGAGCAGCATAGTTTTTTCGGAAAAGCACTGATGATTTTACATGAGATTGTCAGTGCTTTTCCGGAAATTCAAGTGGCCAGTGTAGACAGCTGGCAAGTTTTTCCGGAAAAGCAAATGATTTTGTGGAAAAACTTGCCAGTCTAGACACAGCCCCAGTGTTTAAGGACTGAGTATAATAATGGACCATGAAGAGTCTGGAGATAAGGAAAAGTATGAACCCTAAAGACTTAGGAAAGGGGGTTAACTTTTTCCAGGAAAGACAGAAGAGAATGCAGGACTATAGATATAAAAACAAGGGATCCAAGGGCTTATTGTAGAGTGGAGTGTCTATATGTGAGGATTGGGATTCAATCCCACTATAATTATGTGTGTGGGTGTAGGAGAAAAGGAAGAGTAGCTAGGCTCATCCATGGGGGAGGGAGGGACAATGGAAGTAGTTGCCCCAGGATCTGGTGATTCAAAGGGGCCCGGGGCTCTTGTCACTGCTGCTGATGGAGTACCAGTGGTGGTGGCTGGAACTCTGAGCACTTTAAATTTCCACCAGAGTGCCAGGTCATGTGCTCTGGGCAGTGCTAAGGGCTGGTGGGGGCAGGGGCAGATGACTGTTTTGCGGGGCCCCGGGTAGCATAACTGCGTGGGGCCCCCCCTTTGCCACGGCGCATGTGCCGCGACGCCATGCGCATGCACGGTGGCGCCACGGCGCATGCGCGGGGCTTTTTTAAGTGCGGGGCCCGGGGTGGCCGCCCCGTTCGCCCTGCCCTATATCCGCCCCTGGGTGGGGGCTCACCATATTCTAGATGATGCTGAGGGCCAACTACACTTGGACTCTGCTCCTTCTGCCCTCAGCCCCACTCCTTCCAAGAGCACAGAGCCTTATTCCTCTCCCACTTTGCCCAGGGACCCATGGTGGCTGTTGGCTCTGCTGAAAGTAGCTGTCTACCCCCCAAACAGTTAAGAGCCTCCCAGAGCTATGCAAAGAGTTGCTGTTCATGTTCACAAACTTCTTTGTGCATGGACTGCAGTTTGCAAATGCATCTAACTGAAAGCCTGGGCAGTTTCAGAGGTAGAGTTTTGATCTAATTATTTTGCAAAGCTCAATCATCAAGAGTAATAGTATTATCTCTAGCATATCTCACAATATAAATGAATAAGCTTGTAGTACACACGTTAAAAGCCGCCTGAAGACCCCTTTACACGTGCTACAGCTTTTAAGCAATTGAAAGCTTTCTCTGAGAGATGCATAAAGATTCTGCAGTACAAGCATTTTGTAGCATAGCCACTTTCATAGAAAAGATTATTGCACGTTAACTTTTTTTAGTGGACTGTGGAAAACCAGTAGATATTATCATTAGTTAAAAATTTAACTTTGCCTGAGGAGGGTGCTGCCAAGTGGTTTGCTATGAGTGAGTCACAAACATTCCTTATTTGCTACTTTTCTATAACATCCTATTTATAGTTGGAAAGAAGGTGGGTGGTGGAATAGTTCTGGGAAAATCAAAAAGTGTTTATCAGTTTAGACAGAAATAATGATGCCAGATTACATCACTACAATTGTAAAGCGTTTGGCCGAAATATATTTGTAATTACGTATCCCTAAGGCAGACAGTTCCATTCAGTACTGTGGCTGCAGAAAAAAGGTCATATCTAGTGTCACAAATATTATCATAAACCCAAATTCATTTATTTGTATAGAACAGATTGTCTTTCTAAGATCATTTTGACCATGGGTAAAAAAGTGGCTCTAGGTAAGCAATATATATTGTCCAATCAGGATTATGTATTTATATTAATATCTAAATTTAATCACAACAATCTATTCTTAAGCCCTTTCTGATAATAAAAATGTATAAAACCAATTTCTGTAATCTAAGTATATAACTCCCTATTAAATAAACTTGCATTTGGTATTTTGCTAGTCACTTAGCAAAGGAACAAAGAGCAGTTCTGTATTGGGTCTACCATAAAACAAATCCTCCTCCTCTTCCTCCTAGGCTGCGGCTACACTGTAGCCTTCTTCTGGAAAAGCTTATGTAAATGAAGTGGGGCATGGAATATCGCCACACTTCATTTGCCTAATTAATTAGCAGCTGCTTTTGCGCAGCTTTTTTGCAAAAAGGAGCTATGTAGACGGCTCTTTTTGCACAAAACCCTGTTGTGCAAAAATGGCCCCTAATTAATTATGCAAAAGAAGTGTGGTGATATGCTAATCCACATTTCATTTGCATAGGCTTTTGGGCAAGAGGGATGTAATGTAGACGTTGCCTCTTGGTGAACTATTAAGGACAACAGAATGAGTAGGGGTAAGGAACAGTTTCCATAGGAGGAGAGATTAACAAGAGTAGGACTTTTCACCTTGGAAAAGAAATGACTAATGGATGTGGGGGATATGTTAGAGGTCAAAGAATTATGAAGGATGTGGGAAAATAGAATAAGGAAATCTTATTTACTCATAAGAGTTGAATTAAATGAAATCTTCTTGCTGGCTTAAGACATTTTGAGGCCCTATTATGTCAAGTGCAAGGAGCCCCATGACAAAAAAATATTTTCACAGAAAGGACATTGACTATATACATCTTTAAAAGCTTTATGTTCTCACAGGAAAACAAGAGAAGATATCTACTTTTTTTACACATTGAATTGGGAAAATTATCTTTTTCATAAGGCAAATGATAAATTCATTCAGACTCTATATAAATATATATTTACAAATATTTATTCTGCTATAATTTTCACTACAAAACAATGAATTTGGGGGATTTTTATTTTGCCATACTATAAAAATACTGTGAAGGTTCCCAAAATTGATGAAGGAAAGCCAACACAGATTTATCCTCCTCAATATCCACTTGATCAAAGCCAGTAAGACAATCACCTGCAAACTCAATCGTGTAAAGTGTAGATAGCACATGAAGCAAAAAGTGTCATATGCACTGACATATAAAGTTGTACATATGTACAGATCAAAAGAAAAAAACACACTAACACTTAGTAAAACAAAGAAAAACAGGAACAATGGCACTATACGACTTTGTGTGCTGGACCATAAATAAAACATGATGG